TGAAATTATATTAAAAGTGTCCGATCAGTGTGTGAATTTACTATATATGATTCCGACATGTATATGAATTTATTTTAGATAATTCCGAAAAATTAATACAATAATTAATCTTATATATACGAAGTTTACTTAATAACTAAAGGAAATTCAAAATATATAGCTCGATTAAAAATAAAATCAATATAGGTTCCTGAGTAAACTTAAATACGAACATGAAAGACACAGGCAGTTCTATATTCATAACTTGTTCATAATGTTAATTTGTAACAGAGAGATCAAAGAGAGCCTCGTTTCTATTATCTTACAGCAGAATTAAGGAGCCGGGATAGCTCAGTCGGTATATCGACGTGTTATGGGCCGGATGGCTTGAAAACAAAATAGTAGAGCAGTTCTAGAATGCCCTCTGCAGGAACGACCACTGAAGTGGCTGTGAGCTACTCCGCTCAGCGTTGTCCGAAATTGGGCTTTCGTTTCCTTGACACCGTCAAGTACAATTCACCCTGACAGCTACTATCGATATATAATATTTTAGGGACTGTATCTAGTATTTTTTAACCATGCTGGAATCTCAATCAATTCCATGGGGGAGGGGGGGTGGTGCACAGGATAAAATGTCCCATCAGAATTCTGCTTTTACTTCCTTGTATTTTTCGTACATAATAAAACAATGCAGTTGATGTCACAAGCGCGAAATATTAGAGGTCCTACTGTAGAAAAGTGATATTGACGTTCCTTCTAGAGGTCACTGTAATGACTATATTTTTTCGTGGTTGTCCTCAGTCCAGCCAGACACTTCAGGGTATTTCATCACATAGGCCGTAGCAGTTCCGTGAACATCCTTCCCAGTTAGTCTTTCGTTTGCATCGTTACATTTTATTGTGCAGAACCTACACAGTTGCAAATACGCCCTTAGTCCTTTAAAGCCCATTGATTCTGTGTGTAAATGTAAGAGGTAAATTTATCTCTGCGCTTAAATAGTTAAGGACTATGCCATAAAAATTGTGGGGAAGTGGAGGTATAGCTCCAGCTTTCTTGACCTCGGAATCAGAATGTGAGTGCTTAACTTCACACCCCTGCCACTTCACCCCCTTGGGAAGATCTCCCAGTACCCATTGGATAGGACGCTGTATGGACCCCAGTCTCGGTCTGGATGCTGTGGAGAAGAGAATAATCTTGCATTACCGGGAATCGAACCTGAACCGTCCAGCCCGTAACCCGTCCCTATACCCGGTTCTGTGTGTATCAATTGCTTATAATGCTAATAGCCTGCGTTCTGCCCGCATACTATATTTTTGTGTTTCGTATGGTCCTCCAAGTGAACAGCAAATTTCTCCCTAAACAGAATTAACAGGTTGAGCTTTGTAACGGATACGTAATGTGTTTCCTATGAGGTACAAAATGAATTTTTATATACTCGTAAATTCAGCCTTCAGAATATTAAATAATTCATCTGTCATAGACAGGGAACTATTTTTTCTCCGTCTTCGCTGTCGGAGGAGACCATAGACGAAGATTAACTAGTAGGAGATTCAGATTTTCGCTCATGCGAATTGCGAATTGTTACTTTCAGCAGACACCTTCATCCTCTCGACCGTTGAACCATACAACCTGTTACTGTTCCATGACACTGTTTACGGTGTTTCTATACGCGTCCCTTCTAGCTAGGATTGCATGCCATGTTCCGTTTGGTTTTTGTTTTTGTTTTAGTATACGTAGTTGAGTCTGGTCAGGTCGAAACATCGGGGAATGCCATACTGTTCGTTAAAGTTCAAAATTTCCTGTAGTTCTCGCAACTTCATTGTTCTTTACGTACCTGCTTTCTGTGAATATAATCGTCTTTACTCGTTTAGTAACCATCGTCATCGGCTTCAACGTCTTCACGTTTATTTCCACTATTTCTTCTTCGTCTCTTCGTGTTTTTATTCTGTCTTTTCAATTAAATTATTCATAGTTCCCATTGTTCCCATTCTAGCATACAAGTCACGGTAGAATAAACGTACTTTCAGAAACGAATGACATATCATTTATAATTTGTTAGTGCAGGATTGCAAAAGAAAATAGTTACACCATCTCATTCATCATATATCGACTGACAGCCCGTTATTGTATGCAATATACTTTTGTTCTCGTGCTGCTTTCATCCCAACCCGAACGAAAACACACAGGATTCGACAGTGGTAAAATTAACGACATTTTATACGTACAATATGCAGTTAGCACTTGAGAATCCCAACGCCCAGGTCAATTCATGTGGGATTTGTGGTGGATAGAATGACATTGGGACAGTTTTCCTCCAAGTACTTCGGTTTCCCCTGCCAATTCTCATTCCCCCGACTGCCCCACAGTCATCATCTGTCATCCGGGATTGGTACAATAGGCCAGTAGTGGCTGCAGTACCGAGTGGACTGTCTCACCCCACCCCAAGAAACGATTACTTGAGATAACCGGCCGGCAGAAGAAATTGTGAATAAAGCAATTTATTCTAAGATGGATTTTTTAACAAATGAACATGGAATTCATATACAAAATTCTCGCTATTAATTGATAATTCAAATTTGCGAAAAGTCTAGCTTATATACTGAATTAGGAAACAGATCATAATAAGGCTTTAGTGTTGACTGATTAATATGCACAGGAACCAACAAATTTATGTAAGATTTGAGATTCTCACGGCGGTGACAATGAAGAATGCCGTCTTCTGGGATGTGACGCCGTGTAGATATTGTGTAAACCGACGTTTCGGAGTAACATATCGCCTCCATCTTCAATATATAAAAATCCACGAGCGAGGAACCAGCTTGAGCGGGTTGCTGTTTATATAAAACAGGACGGTGTTATGATAAAACAGGGCGATGGATTATGTCTGGAAACATAATATTTGTATTAATATACATCTTCATAAACTTTTAAAAGATATTGTTTGTTATATGTATGGAATGTTTAAGTGGCTAAGACGCTGAGGTCAGCAACTCCCGCGCTGCAGAACTGCTGAGTGTGGAAAATGGAAGCCCCTGTAGCGTTGGAACTTCTCGGGTTTCAGTCAATATTGTCGGAAAGAGCCTCTTAACCCCTTATCCTGAACTACGTATGACTTTGTTAACTAATGAGACACTGTCCCTCGTGTGTTAAAGCTTTCTTGTTGACGTCGTCGTTTCAAGAAGAGGTAAATATGAGAGACATTAATGTGATATTAAAATATGAATGTCAGTAAGACTCCACGTTTATTTCAATATGGGCCTTCAAGTGATAAGGGATAACGCAGTCAGTATAGCGACTGGCTACGGGCTGGACGACCGAGGGGTTGCAGTTCGAGTCTCGGTAGGGTCAAGATTTTTTCTTCTCCACGTCGTCCAGACCGGCTCTGAGGTTCACCCAAACTCCTGTCCTCCTCCCGGGGGGGTAAAGTGGCCGGAGCGTGAAACTGACCACTCACTTCCAGGTATTGCCGAGGCCAAGAAAAATGTGGGTCTATAACCCCCCCCCCATACGTCTTAATGGCGTATGGCGTAGTGCTTAATTAGTTAAGCACAGGGACAACCATCATGGCACAGTTGTAATGTGGTTTCGAAAGCCAAGTATGAATGCCGCAGTAAATCATTTTACCGTAACCCTTTTCTTATATAGAAGTGTTAGCAGGAACGGGATGACTGCTGCAGAGGACAGCGGTTCTGCAGCAGATCGAGTCTGCGATACCAGTCGACAAAGAACGCCGTGGTTACAAAGTAGTTTTCAGTGTGCTGGAGATTGTCGCCGTTCCACCATCTTAAGTCATTCATCTTCATTCATCACCAAGCGATAGGCTCCACCCGACATGGTATTAAGAGACGGTAGACCGAGTCAAGTCCCATCGTGAGCTGTCTCTCACGTCGCCTATAAAACAGGGGCTATTTGAATATAATGAGTGGAGTTGAGCTGTGCCTTAGCACCCACAAACTACAAATCTTCAAAGTAGGGCTTCCAAAGTACCAAAAGTGATTTTACGTTCTCTGTCGATTCTGATCGTGTCAGGGATGTAACTTCCGGTTTGCAGTTAGGGATGTTCACAATTGATCAGGGGAGATAAAGTGGGCCAAGCCTTGTCCTCAAATCGAAACTGTACTGCTAGTAAATGTTTTTATTATTTTTCAGAAGCTGCAGGATAAATTGATGGAAAAAAAAGTAGGTAATAAGTTCTTCGAAAAAGGACAAAGTTCAGAACTTCTTGAATGATGATAGTAACAGATCAAAATTACGTTCACATATAAACTGGAAACATATAAATTTGTATGCGCTAGCTTCTATAATATTGCTGACTTTATCGACGAAACGTCACATTTGGTACTGAGCGCTATGTTTCAAATTTGTGAGATGCTTATTTATATTACCCAACCTAATTCTCATATGTTGCATGCGGTAGCGTGGTTGGTTGAGGCACTAGGCTACAAGGCAGAAGGTCGCGGTTTCGATTGTCGATGTGGTTACTAGATTTTTCAATTGAACTAATCTTTCCTCCGGAATTGTAACCCTGTGGTCGGCTCAGCCTGTACCATACAAATATGTAATGAAAAGTTTCATAATTTTCACTTCTTGCCTGGTAATGTAAGGCTGATAAGATGAAGCATGGTAAGTTTGGTTGGATATATAGCACGAATGGAAAAATTCAATTTCACTATAAGGAGAAGTAGGTGCAAATGGTATGGAAATAAATGGATCTCGGATAAATACAGTTTTCAATTTGGGGGGGATTGAATTGGGTTAAAGTATTGTAAAAGTAGAGATCGAACTCTTTTCAATTTGGGGGGGGATTGAATTGGGTTAAAGTATTGTAAAAGTAGAGATCGAACTCAGCTCTATCACAGAAGAAGCTTGCAAACTGCACTAAGTAATTACACGGAACGACTTGTATACCCTTTGTGTTGTTGCGTTGATATTAATAGCAAATATGCTGATTGCTGGTGTTCATGTTTTCCGCAGTCATGCATAAGAACACTGATGAGCTTTTTTTCTCTTTTCTGTTTCAGTAATCTGGCACGGTGGCGTGGGTACAGCAAATTCAGTGCCCCGGAAAGTCAACAGATAGCTCCACCGCTCCGAAATTGTTTCGAGCGTCACGTTTTCATACTTCAGACTGTGCTACGTAAATAAACGGTGTCCGCATTGAGGTAAAGTAGTTTTCACTTAATGAGACACGTGTTGCATGGATGAGTATAAGCTATATAAGGCACATATGTTATTCCCTTATTTGACTGTGACTATAGACGGAGTTTGGATTGATGACCGCATTTATTGGACTTTTTGATACAGCGCGTGATTAAACGTTACTGTACACTGTTACACACACATACTAATGTCCACAGTCACATCTTCACTGCCGTTGCTTAGTAGCTGCTTCCAACGACAGACGTTCCCCTTCCTATGGGTTCCCAAACTCTCCCCGGCCTCAGCTACCAGCTTCTCGCAGTAAGAACTCACAACGTCCGGACTTCAGCGGTCCTCCTACTGATCAACTCGCCAACCATCTCTTCACTTCCATAGTCAGAATGAGAGTCAGAATAACTTTGCGTCTGGCGGTTTGCCGCCAGTCAGTTCGTCATGGAGACGTGCCTCTTGAAACCCACGATCAGCAATTTTCTTTCAACTGAAAACTTGCTGTCATAGTCCTTACGTAACATCCCCTCTGACGAGAGGATTTGTGTGTCGTTCACAATTGCTACTGGCTCTCGCCTCCACACAGGGTTCTTAACTTCCACTCCTCATTTGTCCTGTTTATAGCATCTCGACACGGCCCACACAGAAAACACTTTTCCTCTGTTGATGTGCCTTTGATGCGTTCGTATCTGTTGTGGCTCCCACGTGAATGCCACTCAGCCATTACCTAACGACAGTCGTTGTTTAGTAGCTTATTTCGCGGTCGTTGCATAGGAACGGATCTACATGCCAGAATTTATTGATAATTACCTGTACAGCAACCCCTTACCAGCTAAACGCTGTCTTCAAATAACCACCGATCTAGACTTGTATCCAGTTTAGTCAGCCGCGGTATCCGAATTCACGTGTACAACTACGCAACAAAAAGAAAACCTCCAGCAGCTTTCACATCTGCGACGGGGAGGCTGTAACAGTATCCGAAACCGTTAATTTACACGTGGATTTGCTCTCCAACAGGAGCAGCTTCATGCCTTGCCTATTGTTGCTACGACGCCCAGTTTGTGAGAAACGGGCCCCTTAGAAAGGTCCAGTGATTCAGATTAGCTCTTTCTAAGAGGCTCAACTGAGTAGGTGTCTTACTTTCACCTGGGGCCAGAAACAGATCCAGTTCCCGAAACGTCGTGTTTTCTGTTTTCTAGAATACCAGACGATGGAAATAATGAAAAATAAGACAGTATTTCTAATGGTTACTATACGACAGCCGCGAGAGAGACAAATATACCAGACCTAGGCAACGGCTCAGTAAACACGCTCAATAATCTACACACAGCAACAGGGATACTGTTGGAAGCGGGGTATTACTAGGTGGTCCCTGCCTGGGAGTTATCTTGAAGAGAATTGGGGTGACTGTGTCAGTTCTGTACTGAACTCTGTGAAATACAGGGACAGTCTGAAGATAGTTGTAAGGGAGCCGCCATTCAGAGAGGACTTGAGCACGGAAGCTGAAGAATCTCCACTGTTAGAAGCCGTTACCAGGGAACGGCTGGTGAAGAAAAAGCAGGCTGGAAAAGAGCGTGAACTGTCATGATTTGTAAAGTTTGGAGATTAGCGGAGGCCCTGTAACTACTTGTAGTTCCGAGGTATGTGTGTCAGTTGTCAGTAAATCCAGTATCCAATCCAAAATCCCTTCGAGAGTCACTCATACACATGACAGTATATTTACAGGGCCAGACATCTCTAAGTAGAATGTGGATTCTATTGGGCGGCTCAGTGGAAATCTGCATTAAACATCCTGCCATATCTTTACGTTCAATCTTAGCACTTGCTGCTTCTTGCTAACTTAAATTGCAAGTTAACGTGAAGACAAAAAGTAAAGTATGTTTTCCTGATGAAAAGCTCACCATAGAAACGGTTAAATTACATGAACCAACATCCTAATTTGTTCGAGGCCACTCCTGCAATCCATAACTCTGAACTGACGTGTTCTGTTGGCAGTGGCATGCTCCTGTAATTACTTTTATACATCTGTCTGCCTCTTCTCAACGAATTGCCTAGATGAAGTAAAGTTTAGCCTCGACGTGAGAAGTCATTTCATTTCTGAACATCTTTTCTATGTATTATATATACACCCTTCTATGAAGAAGCTAAATTGGAGGTCCACTTGGCGAGAAGGATTAAAACACTCTGCGTAAAACTGAAATGCAGCCATATTTTTCTCTTATAAAACTTTATCGCAGACTCTATAGAGTACGAAACAATAATAATATGTCATTGGACACACTACTGTGCTCCATCTGTCCTTCACTACGAAACGGTACGTGTAACACAAAGGTTTGTGTCTGAGTACTGGTTAACTGTAGTAGTACACGTAAGGAAGGTAAAAGAAAATTAGTTGCATTATTCGCCGTCTAGATGGCAGTGCGTCATTATGTTTGAAACTTCACTCAGTTTGTAGCTTGTAAAACTGAAATGTCGCACAGAACGTGATGAAAGTGTTGTATTATTTTTCAGTTTTCATGCCCATTTCAATGCTGAAAATGAGGCAGTACCTTTAGAAACAATATTTCGTCCCATATTTATTACGGTAGCACAAGTCGAGTGATATTTGTATCAGCTCTGTAAATTGAAATAATTTTTGGTTTTGGGAATAGGGAATGATTCGAGTTAGGCAGATATAAGACGTCTAAGTTCAGCGTGACAATTTTCAGGCCCGATGTCGCCAAGTTGCGAACAAGCGCAAACTTAACATTCGCGGAGTTTTCGGTATTTGTCCATCGTCCGGTATTATAAAAAGTAGAAAAATCAGCATTTCGGAAACTCGATGTGTCCGCCCTCAGGTGAGGGGGCGACACCTACTCTGTTTGGTCCATTAGAAAGAGCACTAAGGTTCTCAGCCTTCACCAGTCGTATCCAGACAACGGATTTATAACAGTCTCACTATCACTTCAGATCACACATGGAGTCTTCTTGTCACAGTCTAATTCCTTTCTTGCCATTTCTTCTCTGTCACCTTAGACTGCCCTCTCCAGAACTCGACCCATTTCTTGACAACGCTCTCAAACGACTTTCTTTGCTCCCCTCTAATTCCTTGGCACTGACCACGCAGAAAACACAGCTTCTCTACTGTTGAGACAACTTCTTTCCTGATCCGTTGGCTAGCAATGGATGTAGCCTTCCACAGGACTGTGTTTACCGAGTCGTTGCGTAGCATTGGATCTATATGTCAAAATATTATATATGAAACATTTTAACAGCTTCCCCCATTGCCGCCAGGTTCTCCCTCCTATTCCATTGCTCTGCAAGAGGCTCCAAATACTGTTAAGGTTCCTCGCGCCGAAGAGCGAAGTGAAGTGTGCGACAATAGAAATCGACTAATGCAGCTTTTGTGAAGCGTACAAATGGGAAACTACTTTCGCTATACGATGAAAGGGCTGTTTCCGTAAAAGCAGTACCCTTAAAGTCGGACAGGTAGGAAATAATGACATAGCTGGTTCCTGGCGACAAGTTTAAGTCAGAATCCCCGACAGTAAAGAATAACTTCTGGCAGGAAACTCTTGGAGCATGAAAATTGATTGTCCAGATATGATTCCGCCATCTATCAACAGTAGCAGGCAACAGAACGCTTGCGCAGTGCCACTGTTGCATGAATGACGAGTCATTTAATACAAGTCGAATTGTCTCCTTCCCGGGGTTCGGATGTTGCAATGCAACAACAAATTTAGCTGTGTAGAAGACCCTGAATAGAACAGGGAAACCAGAGATGCGAATGAGCTGGAGTTTACTCGACTTTCCACTGTTCTCCTGGCAGATGCTAAGCGGAAGTGGAAGCAAGATGGCGCGGCAAGTCATGTCCGTAATTTTCACGGCAGACTGGGATATCTTACGGAAATTATCAAGATGCAAGCGTGGTGCCCCTTGAAAAGGTGACGACTGCGGGGCCCGTAATTATCCACAGACAGTCTGAACTTTCAGCACCGTACTGTAGGACTCCATCAGTTCCTTGGACACGTCACTGAAGAGCACATTGATAGAGAACATTGCCAGCAAAGTTACGCAGCAATTCACAGTTGTGTTCCCATAATTCCGGAGAAACTGTTGTCCCCATGTTCACCAGATAGACCACCCCGCAATTTGAAAACATACCACATACATTGTTGCAGTGAGTGTCTCCCAACACAATTCCGTCATGCACATTTGGACGGAGAAACAGGCGGTGGTCAGCCATTCCGTCACGAAGAACATGTCATTCCAGATAGCAATGTTACAGTATGTTACTAGAAATGTTCGCAGTTCCATCTTCTTCCCTCCTAATGTTATCGGTATTTATTTATAAAGATTCTTGCTTAATGTTACCAATCTGCAGACACTTCAGAAAATGATATTCTTGTTCCTTATGCCCCAGGATTTAGGCAATAATTTGAGCAAAGTATTGTCATTGGTTTTGTTTGTAATCTTTGCAGGATCGAAATCAGGACTCACGTGTGTGTTGTTTCGTTGTTTATTTTGTATCAGTTTTAAGGGAGAAAATGTTACATCTGAAATTCAAATAACGCGAGTGCAATCAGAATATTTGACACAGTTCGTTTGGACTTGATGGCTTTTAATCTAGGCTAAGTTTCGTGTGCTATATGAACGAATATGAAATATTTATAGGCCTCTTTAACGGTCGTCTTTCGCTGTTTCTTTTCAAGAATATTGCTGAAAACACAAATCCCTCTTCTTGACCCCAAATTGACTGAAACAGAAAACTTCTGGCTAGTATTGCCGCGGTGTCCTTTTCGAATTTTGACAGGGGCACCTACATGAAGCACTATGGCACAAGCCGGTAGGTCGTAGGTTCGAATCCCGATGAGGTACTTAATCCTTCCAGCAGCAATATGGTCCTGGGATCGACTCAGCTACTAACATAAAATAAGTACCAAGAATCTTCCTGGGGATAAAAGGTAGCCGGCGCGTAAGGCTGATAACCTCACCGACATCTATGAGCCTATTTTCTATAAATTGTGTGAAGCTT